GATTGCCACCCAGACCACGTGTGCTCGCGCCGTGTATGTAGTGGGCGGGGATAGGTCGCTCGCGACCCCGCCCCTTCTTCCGTGAGACGCCGCGGCCCTGCGGGTGGGGGCTCCGGTCCGGGCTTTGGCTGCGGCCCCGGTGTAGTAGCGGGGGCGGCGGCCGGGGGCAGCGCGGCTCCTTCCCTTGTTGTGTGTGTCGGTGCCTCCTCGCCATCTTGTTGCAAAGCCTTTTCTTGTCGGCGGGACTCCTGGGGGCCGCGGGGCGGGAGGCATTAGAAGGAAAGAAGAGAGGGAGGGAAGAAGGGGAGGCAGTGCCGCCTTTTTTCTTTTGCATCAAATTATTTTAAATTTGCAAATTATATTTTGCAAAATTTTGGGAGACATTGATTTTTTTCCCCCGGTGCTCCCCCGTGCTTCCCTGCGGAGTGCGCTGCGCCGCCCAGCCCTGTCGCCCCCCGGAGGTGATCCCTCCCTCCTGCCTGCCCGCCAGCCTGTCCTGTGCCTGGCTCGCGGGCCGCAGTCTCGGCCCCGGCGCGCCCCCGGCAGCTCTCGGCGCGATGAGCATAGAGACGCTACTGGAGGCGGCCCGCTTCCTGGAATGGCAAGCGCAGCAACAACAGAGAGCACGTGGTGAGCGGCCGGGCTGGGCCCCTGGGGCACCGGGAAAGGGGAGGCGAGCGACCCCAGTCCCCGAACCCACGCCAAAACCGCAGCTAGACGCCCCCCGCCGGCGACCCGCGAGGACGGGCAGCGCAGGGCTTGGCGCAAGAGCCGCCGCCGTGGGAGGGAGGAGTGTTGTGGGCAGTGAAATTAATGACTTCATTAACATGCAGCGAGGGACCCGGCTTCTGTGAGCGCCACCGCAGCGCCTGCCACCCCTTGTGCACCTTTCTTGGGGGCTCCTTTCGCGTGGGTCAGCGGCGCCCTCGGTAGCTCTGAAGATGTGTGAGCCAGGGGTGGGGCGGGGTGGGGTGAGCAATGGTGTTGCGTAGGGGTGGCAGACCCGCGTGTGCGTGCGTGTGTGCACGGGGGATGTGTGATGGGAGCCTCGAGGAGAGCGGATGAACGGATGTGTACACGGGCGAGTGTAGAGTGCACACGAGTGGGCGTGTGTGTAACGGAGTGGGGGGGTAGGAATTACTCTACGCGAAGCAACTCCCCGGCTTCCCTGGCCCTATGAGGAGGGTGTGGGGGGCGCTCCCGGCAGATCTACGCGCCGCTTGGGGCGGAGGCGGCCTTTGCAGAATGAAATGACATCGCGTGTCTTATGATCCTGGCCAGCCCCTCCTGACCCCGCCTCCCAGAGCTTGGGCTAGGTCGCGCGTCAGGGGTTTGGGTGAGAACGGGCTGATTGGGTGTTTGAGAAACGACCTGCAGGTCGCTGGGGGTAGCCCCCGGTTCCCCCCTTTCTGCGCCCCACTTTAGCCGATGTGGAATGTGGCGTGTCTTAGCGTTCCATACCCGCTCTCGGCTGGAATGTTGCGTGTGACTGCGTACCAAGCCCGTTGGTTACACCGGGTGGTGACGTGGACGAGCCCCGCCCCCGACCACGTGCACGGGGGACACTCCCGCTAGGGACGGCTGCTGGGCCCAGCCCCTTCTCGCAGCCTCGCGCTCAGCCGGAGGCGGGGCCTGGGCGGGGCTGGCCAGGGTCCTGGCTCCCGGCTGGGCTCTGGGTTTGGGCGCTGGGCATCTTTCCGGGAGAGCCTTTGCCCTGTGAAGGAGAAGCCGAGCTCACCTGTCGGTTCTCGCCCCAATCTCCTGTTTTTGATCATGGGGAGAGGGAAATCCTCAGAATTGCAGTGCAACAGGATATTTAGAGCTCGCACATTCCCACTGACCCCAAAACGTTCTCACCAGGACCTCCTGGCAAAATCCCCGACCACATTGTGGAATGAGCCTTGCTAAGAAGGGGCAAACTTAGGACCTCCCTTGACAGGGTTGAGACGAAGATTTCGGATGCTTCTTATCCCCACACGCCCTTGTTAATTGTCCCCAGCTTCAGGGTGCTGTAGAAACAGGGACTAGGGTAAAGACCTCCGTTTCCCAGACTGCTGCCAGGGCCTCAGCCATGGCGTGTGTGTGTGTGTGTGTGTGTGTGTGTGTGCGCGCGCGCGCGCAGTATCCAGAGGACTCCTGCCCTCTCCAAACCTCCCCCTCCCAACCCTTCAGCCAGGTTGGTTGTGGTGATTTCGCTTCGCCCTCCTTTCCTTTCTTTCTGCCTATTGTTGCTTCAATGATGAGTCATGCAGGAGGTAGTAGTGTGTGTTATGTGTGCGTGCGTGCGCGGATGCGCGCGCGCGCGCGCGGGCCTGCAGCCGCTGCGGCCTGGTGGGGGGAGTAACAGCAGGCCAAGGGCAGGGGAGCGGCGCTCCGCTGACCTAGTTGGATCGGCTGGCCGCTCAAGGTCAGGAGTCACTCGAAATATGTGAGATCAAGATGCTTGAGTTTTTTTAAATTGATAGGCTGAAACCTCAGCACGCCGCCCCTCCCCCTTGTCTTTGGGGCCAAGGGCTGGGTCTGGAGGTGGGTAGTGCTGGTAGTGACCAAGAACTCCTGCGTGCCCAGCAGCAGGGGGAGGAGTGTGCACAAGATTTGGAGAGACTGAGTCACCTGCTGCCATCATCAACACAATGCAATTCAGGAATACCTACTGTGTCCCCATTGTGTACCAAGCAGTGTGCTAGAGGTGAACAAGATTGTCCCCAGTCTTGTCGTAAGGAAATACTTCACCCTCACTTTACCTGCAGTCTAGTTGGCCATATGGGGAAAAGGAGAAGACCCCCCACTGTTATCTGTCTGCCTTTTTCCCAAATAAGTTCACAGCTGACCAGTAAGAAAGACAGGGATGATATGTGCAACACTGTGAAGGAACCTGAGAATGGTTCTCTCCTAAGAAGTTGCAGAGCCCTGCCCGCTCCCCTAGTTGACGAGAACTGGGGGCAGGGAGCTGAGTTGAGGCCTGTCACAGCTTGTTGGTAGGGCAGGGTTCTTAGGGGATAGACGAATGCTGAAAAGCCAAGTCTACACCAAAAACCCAAGTACAGATGCTTAGAGCTTGCCATGGCAATTTAATCTCCAGAATCCTCCCCCCCGCCCCCTCCTTGAGGGTCTGTCCTACTGGGGATGGGAAGAATGGGGACTTGCTGACCAGAACTGTCCCGGGTTATGTACCTGATGAGCGGCTCTGGACAGGGAGCCCCTTATGCCTGCTCCCCTTTCACCTAGAGCAGTCAGTGTGCTCACAGGACGAACCTGAGGATGCCTGTGCCAGAGAGAGAGAGAGTGAGCGCGTGCACAGAGAGGGAAGGGCAAGGCCATCCTCCTGGTGGTCAGCAGGGGTATGTGGTCATTTCCAGCATTTATGGAGGTGATTCCATTGGGACCCTCTTCTACCTTGATCAGAGGGAGCTGGCCAAGTGTCCACAGGCTTCTGACCCAAGTCGCACCCTGGGCTGCCTCATGTACCAGGCTCCCTGTTGGCATGCAGAAGGGGAGAAGGGCGCTGAACATTTGCGGCCGCCAGGTGTGGGTGCCTCAGGCGCCAACCCTGTGCCTGCTGAGCCCCTGGGCCACAGCGATCGGGGATGGCTAAAGGGGGCACAGTCCCCAGTTCTCTCCACCCGGGTCCCGAGATCACCCCAGAGGGGTCATGCGAAATTACACGGGGTGGGGGGGCAGAGCCCAGGGAAGGTACCCGAGTATGTGCATAACTGGGAGTGAGAAGGGAGTGCACCCATGGGTGCAGCAGACCGTTATTTTAAAGAGCCTAAACCCGTATGCTCCTGAGGGACTGCCAGGCTGCTTCCCCCGCTTTGTCTTCCCCTCTGCAGCGCACTGGGAGAGGGGAGCAGGCTGGGCTGGGATTGAGTCAGAGCTGGCAAGGAGCTTTGGTGGACTGGGTGTCTGGGGCCATCCCTGTTCTTCACCACCCGTTAAGCTTTTTCATGCTGATGCAGGTGTGCTAGGCTTTGGCCTTTTATCTGGGTCCTTTCTGGCACCTGTGAAGCTCTGGTACCTGCCTGGCTCTGGGAGAGAGAGGATAGGTGAGGAGGTTGCCATCTCCTGGATGAGCTTTGGCGTTGCTTTAAAATATGGGGAATGTGAGGTGTGTCTTCAATCTGAGTTCCGAGGGCACCAGTCCTGGGAGGTTGGGGTCCTGTCTCTTCCCCTTGCTTATGGGAGAGTGGAACACTTGCCCCAAGGCCAATGAAAGTTTGAGTCCTGGCTCAAAGGAATAGTGGCGGGGACTGTGTTGGGCTTTGATTTCCAGGGCCTTATCTTGAGGATGAGGAGGGTAAAAGGTTATGAAGGGGGAAAGGAAGCAGATAAGGAATGTGCAAGGCTGGGCCTGAGAAGGGCTTCATAGCTGGAACTGGGCAGATTTCTTTCCCAGTGTGATCTGTGGGAAGCTGGAGTGGAGAGCTGGTTCACTTTGGGGCTGTAACAATAAGTCAGTACTGGCTGGAAAGGCCTGGGAGAGCAAGGCCTCCCCTCATTGGAGCAGGCCAGCTCTGGCCTGGCAGCTCCCCTCCCTGAAGGGCAGGAGAGATACGGAAGAGGGGAAGAGGCCCGTGCTGACCTGTCCAGCCCCTGAGCTCTGGCTGCTGGGAAACCACTGAGTGCTTCCCCTCTCGGAGCCCATCCCCACGTCCCCCTCTACTTCCTCCTTTGCCTCCTCTCTGCAGGAGGGAGGAGCTCCCTCAAGCTGTTGATTGGCCAAAGGGCCCTGAGCCGGGTTGTCTTGGGCCCCTGGGCCGGAGAGAGTCAAGGGGGTTGATGCCCTCCTGCTGAGGGGGGTACTTAGCCAACCTCACCCTCAGCCCCACACCTTGTGGGGTGGCCTGTTTGGGGTGTGTCCATGCTGTCAGCTGGGTTAGTCAGCAGTGTGGTGAATCCAGGGCAGGAGGGAGGGCAAGTTGACCAGCCTGCTCCCTGGCCCAGCCCTGTAGTCAGGGAAGCAGAATGGTGGGGCTCCCAAATTGGGCAGGGTGGCAGTAGAGTGGGGTCTCTGGAGCAGGAGGGGCTGTTCTCTTTCCTGCAGGGCTTGCTTTCAGCAGAATTGCTGAACCGATGGTACAAGGTTGCCCGAGCTCATTGCCTTGCTCAGCCTCTATTAAAAAATAGGGCCCTCCTCTCTGCCTGCCTTGTACCTTTCTAGTTTGTGCTGCTGGAGGGGAGGGGCAGGTGACTTAGGAGAAATGAGTCCTGGCATGACAAAGGGCAGAGAAGGACCACGTGTGTTTTGTGTGGTCTCTGAGGAAAAGAGCCCAGGAGTCCTGGGTTGTGGGCCTACTTTCCTCATGTGTGAGCTGTAGGTCATGTCCTTGCCCTACCTGTGGTGGGGGGCTCTTGTGAGGGGCCAGGTGTGTGTGTGTGGACCTCTAGTGTGCACATGTTGGTATAGTAAGTACCAGGCATCCATCCTGTGTCAAAGAGGTAAGGCTGGGTCTACCCAGTTTACCTGTGGCTGGCTGTGTGACCCTCAACAAATCATTTTGCCTCTCTGAGCTAATTTACCTCAGTCTATGAAATGAAGGTACTGCCTGCCTTCCGGAAGGTACTTGGTAAATATTGTTGAAGGTCTCGCCCAGAAGCTATCATCTGTCCTTCATGGACTGGCCTCTGCCCACCTCATCTATCACCCTTTTGCCCCTGACCCTTGCCTATCAGCTGCCTAACCCTTTAACCTTCAGGTGAATAGGCCTCCAGCATCCTCTCTGACAGCTCCCACGCCACCAAGGCCTGTGTTCTCTCCTAGCCTGGACCATTATCCCTTTACTTGTCCCTCTCCCCCACCCTTCATGCTTTGTGCTCACTAAAGGCCATTTCTTTCATTTGTTCACTGCTGTGCTCCCAGCACTTAGCCACAGCCTAGCTGGGTGTGGATGGGTATTTGTGGCATCTCAATCTGAGCAGAGGTGTCACTGAGCCCTGACTGGGATAAAGTAAGACGATGGGTTATGGTCAAGAAAACAGGTGAAGCTGGGGCCCAGGGCTGTTGGCCCTGCTGAGACATCCCTTGTGTTCTCTCCGCGTAGAGGAGCAGGAGCGGCTTCGCTTGGAGCGGGAGCAGGAACAGAAGAAGGCCAGCAGTCTGGCCAGGCTGGCCCATGCTCTGCCTGTGGAGGAACCCCGCATCGAGGCACCACCCCTGCCTCTGTCGCCACCAGCGCCCCCACCAGCACCCCCACCGTCACTTGCCACCCCCACCCCACTGACTGTCATTCCTATTCCAGTAGTGACCAACTCCCCTCAGCCTCTGCCCCCACCCCCACCACTGCCCCCTGCAGCCCAGCCTCTGTCCCTGGCACCTCGCCAGCCAGCCCTGGTTAGCACCGCTGGACTAAGCATTAAGGAGTCTGCTCCCCTGCCTACCAGGCCACAGGTGCCCACCCCTACTCCCCTACTGCCAGACTCCAAGCCCACCGGCAGCCCCAAGCCTTTGCAGCCCCTCCCTACACCCATCCTGACCATAGCACCACACCCTGGAGTCCAGCCCCAGCTGGCCCCCCAGCAGCCACCCCCACCCTCTCTTGGGACTCTGAAGTTGGCATCAGCTGAAGAAGTCAAATCCAGTGAACAGAAGAAGAGGCCTGGGGGGTGAGTGAGGTGTGGCAGAATTGAGGCTGGTGGGATGGAGAGAACTGCTCCTCCACCCCCGCCGCCGGCGCGGGGCGGTGGTGGGGACTGTGTGTGCAAGAGAAAGTATTCTTCCAAACTAGCCCTTTGGAACATGCCCTCCCTGCCTCTCCAACACAAACGCACCCTCCTTTGGACACATTCTCACTGTGCATGCCCATCCCCACGGGGGGAGTGGGGAATGGCAATTGCCCTCTGTTCTCAGGCTTCTGTGTTCTTTAATCCCCTCCCGGGTTGGGGCTGTTAGTATTTGTAGGTCTTTGGAGTGTTCCCTTATGGGCCTCTTGGTTGAGAGGGCTGTAGTCTACTGGCTATTTCTTTGAGTCCTGGGAGCTCTTCTGTCTCAGAGGTGAAGAGATGGGTTGGAGGGTTAAAGAGCTTGTAAATTATGAGCATACATGTCCCTTCAGAGGCTGAGTGTACCAGGGCCCGGGGTGAACATCTCCCCTTGCTACTTTTATAGAGATAAAGTTGGAAACAAAAAGCCTGTGGCATTTGGGGGTGGGGGCAGGAGGCAGGGAAGCCAGCTAATCGGCTAATTCCCTCGTCCCTGAGTCTCTTGTCTGTCTGGGTTGCAGGATCGGAACCAGAGAAGTCCACAACAAATTGGAGAAAAACAGGTGTGTGCGCGCGTGCGTGTGATCTGGTTCTACCCTTGGTCCCCCAAGCTCTCCTTGTACCTTCCCGCCCCTCCCCCACCGCGCCCCCATCCGTCCCCCTGGCGCTGGCTGACTGGGGATGCTCGACCTCCTCTCCTCAGGAGGGCCCATCTGAAGGAATGCTTTGAGACCCTGAAGCGCAATATCCCCAACGTGGACGACAAGAAGACATCGAATCTGAGCGTGCTGCGGACCGCGCTGCGGTACATCCAGGTACGGGGGAGGGAGGCCTAGCCCAGAGGAGGTGGTGGCGGCGGCACCGGCCGCAGCGCAGCGCCAGCTTCCTCTCCAGTCCCGCCGCCCTCCGCCCCTTGCCGCGGCCCCGCCCGCCTCCACGCGGGCGCTGAGCACATGGCCGGCTGACGTCAGCGGGGCTCCCCGCCCGGGAGGGGGCGGGAGGACGCGTGCGCAAGGAGGGCGGTGGCGGTGCTCCTCTCTGCTCCCCTCCCCCGCCGGGCCGCCCCAAGGATCCCTGCCAACGGCTGGGCCCGGCAGCTCTGTGTCAAACACGATGCCTGTCCCTGTTGTACCGCCTGTCGCTGTCAGTGCACCGCGGGTGAAAAGGGCATCGAGCAGCCCGGCGCCTGAACTCCGCCCCGCAGTGCCGGGGCGGAACGGGATCGGCCCCAGGTTCGTGGGTGGGTGGGGTCTCCTGGGCGTGGCTCTTTCCACCCGGCCGTTGAAGCCCCCCACTTTAACCTCAGGAGGATTAAGATCTCTCCAGTTCATTTAGATGCCACGACCTGTTAAACCTGGGAGTTGGGGAAATACGGCGGTCTGACTGGGTGACAAATAGACCCCGTGACACCGAACCTTTAAATACTACGCTCTCCTTCCGTCTTTCCAGAGGGCCCGTGTGTCCCTTCCCTTTGGGCACCGGCTCTCCTCTGCAGTACCGTGGGGGGCGGGGGGGCGCCCGCCAGATAAGACTGTTGCCATGACGGCCCGAGTTTCGGTTTCCCTGGAAACCGGCCGAAGGTTCCGCTTGCCGGGAAGGAGGCTGTGGGGGTGGGGCGGGCCGCCACGCTCGGCTGCAGCGGAGACGAAGTCGGAAGGGAGCCGTTGGGGGAGTGGGAGGGGCCTAGGGCTCCCAGCCCGCGCAGGGCGGGGGCGGAGGAGCCTCGGGTCTCCCCGTCTGCGCGTTCGAGAAGCTTGGGGGCTGGGGCCGTGAGCCAGCAGCGGGCGCCACCCCTCCCCCGGCCTAGACTGCGGGGTCACAGCCCTGAGGTAACCGCTGCCTGACTTGCCGAAGGGCGGGGGCACTGCTTTGCGACTGCTCCCAGCCGGCGGCCTCCTGGAAACGCTCGCCCTTCCGCCCGCCCTCCGGCAGAGGGGGCGGGGCTGGCGCGCTTCCCAGCACCCGGGAGGGGCGGGCTTGGAAACGGCGATTGGTGGAACTAGGCGGGAGGCGGGGCTCCGAGCGCTCGGAGGGAGGGTGCGGCCCGTGGGGAGTGACGCAGCAAAGCCGGGTCCGCGTGGGTGCGCGCGTGCCCATAGAGGGGCGGGGCGTCGCCTGCGTCCGGCAAGGCCCGGGAGGGGGAGGGGGAGAGGCCGAGGCCTGGCCGTGGGTTCAGGAGCGTCTTGGGAGGGTTAATTCTGGCATATTTTTTCAGAATTTGGGCTTTAGTGTAAGTTACTTGTCTTTCAGTGATAGGGCCTGGTAGTAAGTCTCTGTCCTAATGCTGTGACATTTCTGTGGATGTCAGTTTCCTGTCCTGTATTTCAGTTATGCTAAATGGGAGGTGTAGTATCTTCATTATGGAATGTTAGTATTGGTCCTCTATAAATATTAACTAAGCACTTACTGAGAAATGAGAAGGTTCCTGTTCATAAACACAGACAGGGGAGTCTTGCTTGCATGATGTCTGAGTTTGAAAATAAAAGTGTGGGTCTCTGTCCTCATAGTTTTGGTTTTTGGGCAGATTATAAACAAATCAAGCAGAGGATTGTCATGAAGGCATAATGGGCACAGAGAATGCAGGATTTGTTCTGGGGAGTTAATGGAAGTACCTGAGGTCGGAGCATTTGAGTTCAGACCTGAAGGACTCAGGGAGACCTAGGCAAAGTAGAGGGCAGGCAGTGCAACAGAGGCCAGAGTTCCTCCAGCAGGAGAGAACAGGGTGCAGTTTTTGGGAGTTAAAGATGGTTGGAATGGTTGTCATAAAGAGATGATGGGGGTGCTGCAGGACAGTAGATGGGGAGTCAAAAGGGAGTGCTGCAGAGACAGTGTGGGTGTGTAGGCTGGGGGCTTCAGCTGCGTCTGAGGCAGGAGGCTGTGGGGAGGCTGCAGCCCCCAGCTAACCCAAAGTGGCTTAGGGGTGGTAACGGACTTGAAGAAAGTTAAGTGGACAGAGACAGGGAGAGAAGTAGATAGGTACCAAACCACACATCCAGGTAGTCTTAGAAAAGGAATGGGTTTAAAGTGAAGCAAGGTGGACTAAGGCTAGATCCTGGGAAAACTTCCCAGGGGCCCCTAGGCATCTGGAAAACTGGGCTAGGTAAGAAGAGCAGGTTTGGGCCCCTGAGCCAGAAGTCTACCTCCCCAGCTAACAGGCAGAGTTCAGGATGACTACTTCCCGCCACCAGTAGCCAAGTTGGAGTGAAGGTTGACTCACCTCAGGCCCTGTCATTGATGTGGCATCATCTCATGTCATGTCTAGTACTGGCCTCTTGGATTGAGAAGCCAGAAAGGTGCATGTGGGTAAGGGGAGGGATGTTTCTGGCAGAAATATGGAGAAGCAGATTAATCTCAAAGATGATAGAGGAGGTGTGTATGGCCTGGGACTGGTAACAGAAGCTTGAAGCTACCAGATTTTAGAGTACTACCAGAACAAGGGTGTATCTGGTTTTTGTGTCGCAGGCAGTAATGGTTTGAGGCTTCTCTTTCTAGTGAGGTCAGAAATGCAAGGTGTTAGGGGCTGTAGGAGGGAGTGTGGGGAAGTTGGGCTTGGTGTGTGGAGTTGAAGACATTGCCATGCCCAAGAGGGGCAGGTGAACAGTCAGGAGAAGCTGCTGCAAAACTTCCCTTAGGGCTGGACAGTTCAGTGTGCATTGAGGTGGAAAACAAAACATGAAGTATTTTGTGATACGATCCACTGTCTGATTAGGTACAATCTGAGAGTTTCATTAAGTGCTCAGGTGTGTGGTGGAGGTCAGGAGGATGTGCAGGTGAAGGCGTGGGGTAGGGGAGGACAGTGGAGGCGTTGTGCGCCAGAGTGTAGTCTTGGAGCATGGGCTGATAAGACCAACAGTGGTGAGATGGGAGGATCCATGAGTGGGCAGCTGGACACACAGGGTTGGGAGAGGCCAACTAAGACCAGCTGGTGAGTTTGGTATTTGAAGAGCCAGTGGACTGTGCACTTGGGTTATGACCAGCAAATCTTAGAAGCCAGGAGCTCAGGAGCATTGCAAGTAAGAGACCCAGGCGACCGCAGGGCTGGATTATCTGTGTCATCTGGTTGGCCCAGCAGACATGACACACCTGGGCTGAGGAGAAGCTGGCGGTAGGGAGGCCTGTGATACTTAGATTGGTTTAGTAGTGTCAGAGTCAGGAGGTCGTGGAGGACAGGTGAGACTTTGGGGGTGGAAGGGAGTTGAGAAATAGGACATGAACTGGCACTTCGGAGGGGCTGTTAAGCCCCATGCAAAGGGAAACTGGAGACCCTTCTGAGAGGGGAGCAGTGCCACAGTCTGGGAAGTGGGGCATCCAGCCCTTATGTGAGGGGTCAGCCTAAGGGGCCGTGGTCGTCTGTGGCCCTGGAGAACTTGAGGGAGAGATGGCACCATATGTAAGGACTCCCCATGGTGTTCTTAGTGAGGTGGGTGGCATCAGCCTCTTGGGGGGCGGGCGCAACCTGGAACCTGTGGTGAAAGACAGAAGCCTCTCCAGGGGCCCTCAGTCAAGTCGTGGTGCTGTCCAGCACCTAAAGAGCCATTTCTCATTGATCACTGTGACTCAGGCACCCCATGTTAGAGGAGGAGCACATTCCAGGGCCTGGGGTTGCTCAGCAGCCTGGGGAGTCTGGAGGCTGCGGGCCATGTGAAAATAAGGACTCTGGGGAGGTGTCACAGGTGGGCACTGTAGGCAGTAACCCAGGAGATGGGGTGAGGAGGTACAGGGCCAGCAGTTGCTGGGGGCCAGGTGGAGGCAGGTCAAGGAGGTGAAATGGGGGGTTTACAAAGGCTTGTGGTCATCCTGAAGAACGCTGAAGTTAAGGAGACTGGTGAATGATGAGGTGGAGAGAAAGGCTGAGGGTGTTTGGGGCGGTTTGGGGAATGGGTTCCAAGGAGGGTAGCTTGTGGCATTAGTAACACAACGGCATGAACGGTGGTTTAGGTCTGGGGCAACACCCGAGAAATCTGATACACCTTTTGTGGTCAGCAGAATGGAGTGAGGTGCTGCCAGGAGGGTGGATGGGGCAACAGATAGCAGAGCCCCTTAAGACAGTCGATGTGGAAAAGGGGGAGCCGCTGGCCTGGATCTGTGCTTTCTTTCAATGGCACCGTCGGGAGAGCTCACATTCCCCAGGACACTGAGCCTCAGTGGGCAGAGCCATGGTCCAGGAGGCGGGCATGGTCTCCAGCAGCCCCCGTCAGCCCGGGTCCCCTGGTCGCTGCAGACCTGCCCTGTGGACCAGGTGATTTGGAAGCAAGCGTGGCTGTTGGGGGTGTTTGAGGAACTGTGGGCCCTGAGGTTGCTGCTCAGGGTGTCCTACTTTTCCTTCCCTTGTTCTCCAGTCCCTCAAGAGGAAGGAGAAGGAATACGAACATGAGATGGAGCGGCTGGCGCGGGAGAAGATTGCCACACAGCAGCGGTTGGCAGAGCTCAAACACGAGCTGAGCCAGTGGATGGACGTGCTAGAGATTGACCGCGTGCTCCGGCAGACCGGCCAGCCTGAGGACGACCAGGCTTCCACCTCTACTGCCTCTGGTGAGCCCCACCCCACAACTGCTGGGCTTTCTCGCCAGGCCTTTGCCTGCTGGAAAAGATGCCCCCCACCCAGCCCCATAATATCCCCAGACCCCCAGGGGCATCTCTTTTTTCAGCCTTTTGTCCCCAGACCCTTCTGACCTATACCTGTCCTCGTGTCCCCCCACAGAGGGTGAGGACAACATAGACGAGGATATGGAAGAGGACCAGGCGGGTCTGGGCCTACCTAAGCTGAGCCATCGCCCCCACGTGGAGCTGCCGAAGCCACCGCCCAGCACCGCCCCTGCACCTCTGCCTTCCCACCCACACCCCCACTCCCAGCCTGTGGCTTTGTCTCCTGCCCACCTCCCTGGGCAGCAACCTCCGCCACAACAGAAGACACCTCTGCCAGCCCCTCCCCCCCCACCAGCTGCCCCTGCCCAGGCGCTGGTGCCCGCTCCGGCCCACTTGGTGGCTGCAGCTGGGGGAGGCTCCACAGTCATCGCCCACACAGCCACGACCCACGCCTCAGTCATCCAGACTGTGAACCACGTTCTCCAGGGGCCGGGCGGCAAGCACATAGCCCACATTGCCCCTTCGGCCCCCAGCCCTGCTGTGCAGCTGGCACCTGCCACACCCCCCATTGGCCACATCACAGTGCACCCTGCCACCCTTAACCACGTAGCCCACCTTGGCTCCCAGCTTCCCCTGTACCCTCAGCCTGTGGCGGTGAGCCAGCCCGTGGCGGTGAGCCACATCGCCCACACCCTCTCGCACCAGCAAGTGAATGGCACAGCCGGGCTGGGGCCCCCCACCACCGTTATGGCAAAGCCAGCCGTCGGGGCTCAGGTGGTGCACCACCCCCAGCTGGTGGGCCAGACAGTGCTCAACCCTGTGACCATGGTCACCATGCCCTCCTTCCCGGTCAGCACACTCAAGCTGGCTTGAGGACGAGGCCACTCAAGAGACCCCCAGTGGGGGCATGGAGGGGGACCTGTCCCCATACTCTCCCACCAGCTCCACACATTCCAGCCAGGCCCATCCCACCCACCCCCATGCCCAGGCCTCCTAGGGGAAGGGGGTGCAGAGACTGAGCCAGGGGAGGGAGGGGCCATCCCAAGGGAGCTGGGCACAGGGCAGGGGTTCGCCCGCTGCACAAGGACTTGATAAAGTGGTGAGACATGATCTGGGGGACATGCTGCCTGTCAGCCTGGTGCCAGTCCTGCCTTCTCATCCTGTCCCCTGAAACCAGTTCCATGTGGGCATCCTGTTCTCCGACTCCCCCCGCCCCCGCCCCCGCCTTCCTGTGCTGCTGCTGCTATTGCTCCTCTGGTGATGTGGCTGAGAGTCCCCTCCTGAGCCTCAGCCGTCCTTTCCCAGGCCTCTGGAGGGGGAAGAGGGAGTGCTGAATTGAGGCAACTTGGCCCAGAAAGTTAGGGGCCACTGTAGGCCCTGCTCTGAGTACAGGTGACAGGTTCTAGGAAGTGGCTGGTCTGGAGTCCTACCCAGACAGGTGGGTGCCCCAGCCTGGGGCTCTCCTGCCCAGTTGCAGTCACTGTGATTCCTTACAGCAGAAACAGGTGGTTCTCTACCAACAGTAAACCAAACCCAAGCTGTTGCCTGGCTTCCAAGCCTCCCAACCCTTACTGCTGGGCTCCTGACCTCTAGAGGGCAGGCTGAGGGTGGGGTGGGAAAGGAAGGGCTTGGCTGAACCCATCATTCACCCCCACCCCCACCTCCCAGTCGGGGTCTGGACTAAGCTGCTCCGGACCCCTGTTCCCATCCCAGGGCGTGGCTTTTGGCTTCCAGAAGGCGCCCATTCCCCTGATTCCCAGGCCTCTGCTCAGTGCTCTGCAATCCCCCGAAGGATGGGTATTTGGGGTGTCACCCGGGACACACAGACCAGCCTCTGGTCCTGGTTCCAGGAGCCTGAAGCCACACTGTTGAGACAATCAGGAAGTTAAAATCCAGCCCTTTCCCAAATAGGCCCTGGTGACCTGTGGAGAGGGGGCAAGGCCAGACATGCAGGGCTGCTGCTTCTGCCCCAACTGCTCTGTCTAGCGTCATCTCTCTGCTGTGAATGTCCCCCTTTCTCCAGTGGGCTTTATTGAGTGTGCCCCCCTGGCGGGGGCTGTTGTGTGCCGTTGCCTTCCTCTGAGGAAATGCCTGTCCTCAACTGGCCCAAGGGCAGGGGAGCAGGGTGTGGGATGCTGCTCTCCCTGCCTCTGCCTCAGCGGACTGGCTTCTTTCTATGTGGGCATTTATTACAAGTGACCTTGTGTCAGATGCACAGTTACACACCGTGCACACTTGGCTCCCCACCTGGACATGCTCACCCATGGTCTTCCCGAGTAGGGGGAGGAAGACAGTATCCCTGGATGTGAAGTTTGAACTGACAGGCGGGCGAGGGGGGTAGTAGGTCAGCTCTGGGGCCCAGGATCCTCTGGAGGGGCCCCAACAGAGGCCTTGAATGGATTTCTATGCCTGAGAACAGTCTGTCAGTTCCTTCCTGGTCCTGGAGACCTTCCAGGGGACTTTTCTTCTCACTTGTCCCTCCTGAGGGCAGGGAGGGAAAGGCTTCCCAGAGGGAGCTCCGTGCAGCCCCGCGAAGCCTCCACCTCACAGGCTTGCTGCCCTCCTGCACCCGCAGCCGCCGCGCCGCCCTGGTGGTCGGGGGAGCCTCCTCCCGGTGCGATGGCAGTGGGAAGCAGCGGGCAGGCCTGGCGTCCAAGGAGCAGTCAGAGAAACGGTGACGCGCCGCTCAGCTCTGCTCACCTCCCTGCATCCCGAGGCCGGTCCAGAGTTAGGACATGTGTCAGCCAGTCTCCCCTCGGGCCGCACAGATACCTCATCCGCCCGCTGCCCGTGCCCCTCCCCGCCCCCAGTAGTGGGGGCCTGGAATCTAGTGCCGAATGACTCTGTCCAGATTGGTGACGATGGGTGTTGTTGCTGTTGTTTTGTTGTTTGTGAATGCTGTGATGCTGTGCGCCCGAGAGGGCAGCCGCCCCGCCCTTGGGCATCCCCCTCTGAGAGCTGTCAGGACCACGTCTACCCTCGCCTGTGGGACCGCCCGCCCCGCCCCTCCCCCCAGCCCTTCCAGCCTGGGGGCGCGCGCACGCGCACACACACATCTTACCTCTCATGCGTGTTTTACTTTTTGATGTTCTGAGTGGCTCACTGGCTGGGAATCTTTACCTCGGGGAGAGGGGGAGGTTGGTTCCTTGGGGGGCCAAAGAAGGGCAGGGATGCCTGGAGGGAACGGGAGGGGTCACCAGAACCCCCGCTCCCTCCAGGAACAGCTGCTTCTCCCCCCATCCCAGGGCCCCGCCCCCAACCCCAGAGAGGTGGCCCTTGTTTACAGTGAGGACTCGGTCACTGTGTCTCCGTTTCCTGAAATATAAATTGTAGTGACCCCAGACTGTAGAGATTTTTATGTGTTTGGATACATCTGCTGTGTGGGAAAAAAAAAAAAAAACTACAAAAACCCTACTTTTGTACATATTGTATTTTTACTATTGAACTGTATTCTAGTGGCTGTTCATGCTCCAAGACTTTAGGTGTTGAGACATGAATACTATCCATGTAATAAGCACTTGCCTGGAATAAAATATAAAATTGAAATAAACTTGCACTGAAACCTGAAATGGAGCTGCCAGCCTGCAACATCTGGGTCCTTTCGTTGCAAAAGGAGGCAGAGACCTTCAGGGAAAGACCTCCAGCAAGAAGCAGCAGATTCTTCCCCTGTTGACGTCTGGCTGGAGGATGATCCTCAAGCAGCTTCTGTGCCAGTCAACTACAGAAAAGATTAGGGACCTTCGGTTCTGATCCCAGCACTGAATCTTCAGCAGGCTCTGAGAACTACATTTCTGACCTTCCCTATGCTTTTGCAATACTTCCTTAAACCATTTTTACAAACCATCTTGTTTTTTAACACTGAAGTAAGCAAGCCAAGAACTAGCCTCATTCTGGCAGAAAAGGAAACAGGTTTAAGATGGCTGTGTGACTTGTTACAGTCACACAGCCAGCCTGGGACCTTCTGTAGATTGTCAAACCTCTCAGCTCTGTGAGGAATTCTCCCGAGCATGTGCTATCCTGCCCTGGGGCTGTTGTGGGGTTGGGGAATCTTGAACTCAAGAAAGTTCCAATGGGAAGGCAGAGGATCTGTGCACAGAAAGTGAGATACCTGAGAGGGCATGTGTTTGTAGAGTAGAGGTTCAGACAGGTCAGCTGGAGAGTCCATAAAGCTGTCCTTTCAGGGAAAGGAACAAGAAGAGGAAGAGGGTCAAAGGCACAGTCTAAGCTGGGCCTGCAAACCAGGCTCTGGAAAGCCTTTGTCCCTGTAACTACATCTTCTCCCTCTAGTTTAGGGGAACCAGCCGTTTGGCAGGCTCTCAGGAATAAGTGGAGAGGTGAGAGAGCCATTAGCTGGGCCTAGTTATGGACCAGGCAGACTGCCTCATCCTGCCTTTTGTAACTCCCTGGCACCTGCCCCACTCCCAGCCCCAGCTGGGGAACTGTCTGTTTCTCTTCCTGGAGTGAGTGTGGGGATGTCATCCCTCGCGGGGAGAGTAGTGGCCACTAATGTCTTGGGGTTCCATTCTTTGAAGAAAAGCCAGCTTCAAAAGGCCAGACCCAGTGTCCCTCCACATTGCCCCACAATCCTGGCAGCCCCTTTCATTTGTGAGATGCTGGCTCCCTCTGCTGGTAGCGCCAGGGAAGAATGGGCGCCTTCCAATAAGAGAAGGCCATCGGGCCAACCATTAGGCTTAGCATTTCCTGAGTGCCCACTTTGTGTGAGATACTGTACCTGGTACTGGGGACAAAGATGAAGACTGCCCCTGGTAGTGACAACACAGTATCATCTGAGAGCTGTCACTGTACCATCAGGATAGGCAGAAACTCCCCACCCCGCACTTAAAAGGACAGGCACCCCCACCCCCCCAGTTCAGCTGGAGCCGGCAAGAGAGGGGTCAATAGCCAGGGCACTGGGAAACAAAAATCCAAGTAAGATGCCATTCGCCGGCTCTGCTCTGTGGGAGAGGGAGGCTTACTTCCAGAGTTGGAGGGCCCTGGTGCGGTTTAAAGGCCCTCATCACACTTCCTGCTCCTCCTCTCCACATACACATTACCTTCAGCCGCGCCATCATTTTGGGATTTCCTCTGGTCCCAAAAGCCCATGCGGGGCCAGCACTTCTGGGTGAGTGTGAAGGACCCAGGTCACTTCCAGGCTAATTTATCAGGGGTCGTCAGTGAACTTTCAGACAGAGTCACAGCAGAGGAAATTCTGATTGCGACAGGCAGCAACAGGATCAACTTTGGGGTGGAGAGGGGGGCTGTATTCCCTTGTGGGGCTTATAAGCTTCCCTGGCCCCAGAGCTCCGTGTCCGCAGTTTCCTTGCATGGGCGGCTAGGAGTGAGTTGACAACAGGCCTTAAAGCTCAGAGTGTCAGTGCCTTCTAGACCAGACCACATGCTGGTAATGGGAGCCCGCGGCCTGGGACCATGGATGACGGCGCAGTGGTCCTCTTAGGTGGGGGAAGGCAGGCAGGCCCTTTCCACGCCTCAGCAGGTTTGACTCCTCTGGATGACCTCCCCCCATCCAGGACCTCCAGTCTGAAGCAGGTGTCTCAAAGGCAGCGCTCAGTGGGCAGGGGCCAAGGCCTGAGCGGCCAGGTGGCTTTGTAGATTCTCGTTTATCACTGCAGCTGTCCAGGAGGGCCACACCAATCCGGAGGCTGCGGAGGCCATTGGTTGGTTTGAGAAGGGACTGCTGGCCCTCAGGGCTCTCTCAGTGCCTGGGGTCTGCTCATCATCCCCGCCCCCGCCCCCCGCCCCCAATCAGCCTGTAGCCGAGGTCCCACTCTCTTGGAAAATTTGGTTCTCTTCGCCATCCTTGCCTTTGTGGGGTTGGCGTTCTTTCCTGCTCCATTGTGGAGATTATAGAATTCCCCAGCACACAGTCACTAGCTGTCCAGTGCCAGCCCACAAGCAGCCCCCAGAGCCTCAAGCATTGCCAAATGCTGTGTTTATTGGTTTGTCACACTGAAGAGTATAGTTTTCGAGCCAAAACACATACAGACTCTGCTCCTCACAAAACCACTGAGTCACTAAGGCAGGCACACAATGGCCACCGAGCTTGGTGGAGGCCAAGGACTCATGGACAAGGGCGGGCCATGGAGCGGGCTGACCCCAAACAGGCCGTGCAGTGCCCGGGGTAGGGGCAGGCTGGGAGGCTGTGCCGGATGCAGAAGGCTGGCTTCTGGGCCCTTTTTCATGTCTGCAGACCTTAGTAATTGCCGGGCAGGCCCCAGCCCCTGCGGCAGAGGGGCCTCCCGGTCCTGGGGCAAGGCCAGCTGGGCTGCATGTTGGAGGGCGGGGAGGGGACGACAGCGCGAGTAGCCAGACTGCCCCCCACCCCGCCCAATGAGTGAGGGTCTTCCAAGGGGGTTCTGGGTCCTTATGCCTCTCGACACCCTGAGAAGCCTGGGGAAGGCAGAGCTAGCCTTGCCTCTCACCCGTGACAAGCAAGGGAGACCCAGGCACCTCCTCCCCTCCAGCCTCAGGGGCTCAGCAGATGCCCGGGACGATGGGCTGACTCCAAGTTTTGGGGCCCTTTGAAAGGAGGCTGCGACACGATCACCTCCCTAAAGAATCACGCTGGGGTTCCCCTCTAGAGGGAGTGCCCCCATCACATTCCAGACCCTTCCACTGGCAAAGTGTCATTCATACAGTTTTCTGGGATGCATCTAACGCATAAAGCAAGACAACGTGGCAAGAGAAGGGTCGTACAGATACACGTGGTGCACTGTATGAGCTGGGAGAGTGCATGGGGTCTCCTCAGGTGGCCAAAGCCAGTGGCAGTGCTGCTGAGGTGGGCTGCTCCCACCCAGGCCCAGCGTCTGACTACCCCCGTCTCAGAGGAGGGCCTGAAGGCAGCCCAGGAAACATGCCCCAACTGGCAGCCACTCTGGCTGCTCCAGCTGGGGTGGGTGCACACGCGCGCACCGGGCCTGCAAAGGGACTCTCAGGAGAAATACAGCAGAGGCCCCTTGCTTCACGGGACCCTCACCGGAAGGGGCCCAGGCAACTGCAGCCCTGATCACTCTCTAGGGCCCCAGGCTGACCCAGGAGAGGACATGGGGAGCAGTCCAGGCTGAGGCTGCTAGTGGCAGTGGGGCTACCTCCACGTGTTTGAGAGGGAGCAGAGTAGGTGTTCCCCAAGTCAGCTGCTCCCTGAGGCCGCCCCTTCCCACCCAGACCCAGGCCCTGGCCTGAGGGCCCCTGGCCCCTGCCTTGCTCTGCGGGGCCATAACTGCCCGGAGTCAGGTCCCAGGCTCACAAGCACTTTGTTAGGAACACAGGCGGGCAGGCAGGCTTGGCTGAGAGCTGGGGCGGTCTCTGCTGTGACGCCCCTGCACCTCTCCCTGCGGGGCCCGGGGCACCCGGAGGACCCGGGGCCCAGACTCCGACCGGCTGCTGCCTTGGGTTGCAGCCCTCACTTGTTCTCTATGAGCATCTGCACCTTGTGGACGAGGTCCCGGGCAATCTGCAGGATCTCCTGGGCATTGTGATGCTCAGCTCGTTCTGTAGGGAACATGGGTAACGGTGGCAATGCCGGAGCGAAGGCGGTAGTCTGGGAGGAGCCCACCCACTCCATTCCCACCGGCTGGACTCCTGGCATCTGCTCAAGGGGAAGCTGGTATTTCTGAGCCCCTCCAACCCTGCCCAGGCCAGGAGTGGAGGCTCCTAAGCCCCTGCTGGGGGCAGCCAGGCTGGCTGGACAAACTCCTACCATTGAAGAACTTGATGATGTCAGTGAAGTCCATGTTGTTGTCCCGGATAATCTCGCGGTAGGCCTCCACCAGGGCCAGGGCAATGAACAGGACGAAGTGCTCCGATGAGATGTGCTGGGCCGCCCAGATCACCTCCCACACAGCAAACACATCTTCATAGAGCAGCTCTGGGGACAGCAAGGGGCTAAGGCTGAGCTGGCTGCCCGCGGGCCTCCGATGGAGCACGTGTGGAGACGGAGCTCCAGCAGCCAAAGTCCTGGGGTGCTCTCCGTTACACAGCGCTCTGTCCAAGGGCACAGGGTTCCGTGACTCAGGCCAAGACCCTGTCCTTCGTGGTGATTCCCGCACCCTGAGGTCCTGCAGACTCCACGCCACCCTCTCTTCAGCTAGAGCAGCTCTAGTTCTCCAAACCCTGGTCCTCAGGGTGGATTTGGTTTGGAAACCGTTCCCAAAAGCATTGCTTGAGGGCGATTTTCCACTCTGTCTCCATTTTGGATTCATCTAAGGAGCTTTTAGAGTCTTGATGCCCAGGTAGCCAGCCACACTAGTATGAGGCCGGGTGGAACCCAGGGCACTGGTGTTTCTAGAAAGTTCCCCAAGTGGTTCCAAAGTTCAGTTAGGGTCCAGAACCACTGACTCTGGGGAAAAAGGATCTCCTACTGCCCCTGTCCCCAGGCCCACCATCCAATTTCCCTCTTACCTCTCTTAAAATCCAGGAGGAACCAGCGGTAACAGAAGTAGAAGTGGGTGTAGTCTCCATTCTGATGCATCAGTTCAAACAGCTCTGAGTCCAGGATCTTGTGTGAGTGGAGAAAGGGAGGACTGACCCGACGTTGCCTGTCCCTGCCGCCCCCACCCCCCGCCAGGCCCCTTCCGCAGTGGTGCCCGCCTGGTAGTTGCGCGTGAGCCTGCTCCTGTCCCCTGGAGGTTGCACCCTGCGGCCCCGCCTGCCGCCCTGGGTTGCACTCTTGTTGGAGGTACGCCACTCTCTGAGTGTTTGATTGCATCATTAACCGTACTGTTCACCAGAACTTTCATGAGCACAAGCATCACATACTGACATTCCACCTCAATTTATAACATTGAAAGCAATGTTTTTCAGAAATAAACTCACAGATACAGAGAACGAACTCATGGTTGCCAGAGAGGAGGGAGCTTGGGGGACTGGGTGAAAAAGGGGAAGGGACTGAGAAGTACAGGTTGGCAGTTACACGACAGTCACGGGAAGTAAAGTACGGCAGAGGGAATAGAGTCAGGGATACTGCAGTAACTATGTATGGTGCTGGGTGGGCACTAGACTTACGGGGGGATCACCTCACCTCCTAAGTTAGGAATGTTAACCGCTGTGCTGTACACCTGAAACTAATGTAACATTGAATTTCAGGGGGATCCAAGATGGCAGCAAAGTAGGTGAAAGCTACACTCACCTCCTCCCAGATACAAACTGGAATTACAACTAAGCTATAGGACAATCAACCCGAATAACCAACTGAAGACTAACTGAACAGAGGTCTTCTTACTAAGGATTTACAGAAACAGCCACATTGAGACTGGTAGGAAGTAGGGGAGGTGGGAAGGGCTGGCCTTGCTTCTACACGTGCCGGTTGAGAATCTAGAAGGATAGAGTTCAGCTGCAAAGGTTCCCCCTTGAGAAGGGTGGGGTCTCAACCACACAGCGGGCTCCTCCCATCCCCGGGCCCCAGAGCCAGGAATAGGAGCCCACATTAACATCTGGTTGTGAATGTCAACTGTAATTAGAAGAAAGAATGTTTCTGAAATGAAAGAAAGTAAGCTTATACATAAAGGAGAATTTTGGAACACCCCCTGGCCTCCCTGTGGAAGATGGAGAAGTGTAGTAGTGCCTGGTCACGTGCCCACGGGCGGCAACAGGCCTTACCTGGATGAGGGAGCGCATGTTAGCAAAGTGGGTGTCCATGGCACCCCCGTTGGGGAAGTTCTGGCTCATCCTCTTCATAAGGTGGCTGAAACAGCTGTAGGCCAGCTGATCTGAGGGGACACGGCAGTGAGGCCACAGGACAGGAGGCCCCAGCCCCTCATGGCACAGGGGTGTCCTGTGGCCCAGAGGACAGGGCTGGCTAATATGCCCACCTGCCTAGACCCAGCAGTCCCCTTTTCTTCTCCAGCTTTTGTGAGCCCAACCCCGACGCCGTTTTGGGAGCGGTCCCCCTTCCCCGAGCCCCAGTTCTTACCATTATCCAGGATGACCAGCAGAGGTGCCAGCAGATCACACATGCCCTGCACATAGCCCATGTCCAGGTGTTCCCACACGTAGCTGAAATGCCAGGGACAGGGTCACTGTGGGCGTGTGCCATCATCCTCTCCTCCCCTCGGGGGTACTTGAGAGCCGGCCCCTAGAGCAGCCCACTACCCAGAAGTCAGCCTTCCCGCGACCCTGCGGCACCGGGAGCACAATGGTGAAGAACCCGTTGCCCCTGTCCGCAAGGCACGCGGGGGTTCGGGGAAAGAGGCAGTGCGGGCGGGGTGGGGCCCGGAGCAGAGGAATCAGAGAAGGCTTCGGGAAGCACGGCCCGGCCCGGCTGGACCTTGAAAGGCCTCCAAGAGTGAGGAGGGGTGGGGTGGGGGGCACGTGTTCCCGGCCAAGGGAGTCCAGCCTGACTCTGGTGCTGGGGAGAGGAGTGGGCGCCTACAGACCTAACCTCTCCCAGAGCGGGGTCCCTGCCTCCCGCCCTGAGCCCTGCCCTACAATGGCACCTGCACATGATGTCTCTGAGCCTCTCGAGGTTGGGGGGTGTGAAGTACCAGTAGTTGCGGTCGCATCGCTGCACATCCTTGTCAATGCGGTGCAGATTTAAGGCCACAGTGTCCAGGAGTTCTATCTGAAAGAGTGGGGGGCCCTCTGGGGTGAGCTGGGGATGAGAGGCGATGCCCACAAAGAATGCCAAGGGACTGAGAGAACAGAGTCCTCTGGGGATGCTGAAAGACGGGCTCGGGGCCCTCCAAGACAGTCAGAGCACCCCTCCTTCCACCCGCCAGCCTGTACCCAAGCCGTGGGCCGGCAGGACAGCTCTGGGCCGGCTGAGAGCAGCGCCGCGGAACCGCCACATACAGTGTAGGCAGAGGTGCACACGGCCGCGAGCTCCTCCCCTGCCTCCGAGGCCGCCTCCTGGCTGGGATCTTGGGGCTCGGAGAAAGTGTGGACTGAGGGTACCGGCCCATCGGAGCCTTCCTCCCCACCGCAGTCCTCCTCGAAGCCCGCACTCGGCCCCTCATCTATGCTCGACTGGATGCCCGAGGCCACGGAGTAATTGCGGGAGGAAGGCAGTCCTGAGTCTGGAGAATCGAACTCCACTGACTGCTGCTGCTCCACCACCACGGCGCCCGGGGACCCCGCTCCCGGGCCCTCCTCAGGCTCTGGTCTGCAGTCTTCAGTGCCTGGGGGCTTCGGGGGCTCCGGCTCATCCACAGAGAAAAACACCTGGGGGCGGAGAACAGACGGTGGGGCTCACACCTGCACTCCAGCACCTTCCCTCAGCTCAGTGTCTCCTTCCTGGGGTCACAATGGATGAGAGGCGCAGAGTTCTCTTCGCATCTCCTGCTCCCACCCCAAGGCCTCCAGCACTGCCTCCCCTGGGTGCCAAGCCTCCCTTTCTGACCCAGCTGACCAGGCGGAGGGGAATCAGGTTCCAGGCAAACAGGATGTCTGCCCTGTCCAGTCCCCTCCTCTGGCTTCTTCCTAGGACATGAAAAGTGAGACACTCCAGGCTTCCTGTAGCTGCTGTGGGGAGGAGGGGGAACCCGAGGCCTGGATGCTCAGTGGCACCCATGGCCAGTGTGAGCTGGGTCACTCAGCAAACGGCTGAGGTGGCGAGGCCGCCTGCCAGGAGGGCTTCCCCCTCGCGACTCGGCGTGGCTATGCGGCAGCCTGGGGGCGGGAGGCTGGACGAGTGACAAGTTCTTCCTTCCTTTCAGTGCTGACTGTTCGGAACAAGGCAGGAGACTTGTAGGGACTGCCTCGTCAGTTATATTAGCCTCAGACAAGCTGAGGCGAGGTAAGAAGTGAAAGGAAACATATGTTGCTGATTGGAAACAGACCATCACCATGGACAAGTCACAGGGAAAAGAAGAGAGACATACGCAGACTGGTTTTTAATTTTTTTTTTTCTATTTGGACTATGTAGGGAAAGGGATGCTAAAAGGAGTTTTCACGTTGGGCAAGAAGCGTGGTCTCAGGTAAGGCCATGGGGCAGAGGCACCCAGAGCCCCTGCGCAGGGCCGGGAGGGCAATGCTGCCGCGAGCCAAGTGGCTGGGGCTCTGGTACAGGCTGAGGATTTCATAAAAGCCAAAGCCAGAGGGAAGGCATATGCTTGCCAGCGGGGTTAGGAACAAAGCACACGGAAAGGAGAGTGCGCCTCGGTAGTTTTGCTCCGGCTTGAGTTTTCTGTTAATGTTAGTAAGGATTCAGTGCAGTAGCAAGAATACACATTATCTAAAATGGCAATTTTAAAGAAAAAGCTTTAGTTAGTGAGTGTCCTTAAAATGGAGGCCTCCCATCGCTTCCGGTTGTGCCCAGCAGCCACAGTTTGGGACGTGTCCACCTAATGGCAGGCGCGATGTCACAAGGCCCAGGCCGGCTCTGAGCTGGCTCTGCAGCCGGTTCTCACGGTGAGGACAGACTCCCCAGAGGGGGGGAGCTCTTGCCAGTGGACACCAACAGCGCCACTCTGTGCTGCCCTGGTCTCTAGCAGCTGCTCTCAGTGCGGCCGGTGCTGTCAAAGGAGAGCAGAGCTGAGAGGGGCACTGAGGCCCAGAGATGGGAAGACAAGTCCCACAGCTTGCCCGCGGACAGCCTGGGACTAGAACCCAGGGCTGCCTGTTCTTAGGCTTGAGGCCTTCCCTAACCCCCATAAATCCATCTTTCCCTGCTAGTCCATTAAAACAGAACACAATGCACTATCTCACTTTGTTCTTGCAACGCCCAGAGAAGTGGGGGGCAGGGGACAGTCATCCTATCTTTCAGTGAAAGAAAATGAGACACAGACACATGAAGCCACTCTCCCAGGGCTCCAACACCAGTGAGTACTAGAGGGCAGGCTGGTGCTCAGGACTCCTGCAGGCAAAACGCTGGCGGTTCGCGCCCCACCCCGCCACCCCTAGGTCCCGTCTGGCTCACGTCATTGCTAATGGTGGAATCTCGGTGGATGAGGCGCTGCACGTGGCTGTCGATGCTGCTGCCTGAGGAGAACTTGGTGAGTGTGGCTGGGTGAGCCTCCCGCTCCCGCTGCCTCACCACCACCTCGCAGGCCTTCCACTCCGCCAGTACTCGCTGGTACCTTGCTGCCACCACTGCGTCCACCTGTACTAGGACCACACCATGGCCATGGGGGAGGGGTGCCCCAGGCCCTCCTTTGCAGGGGCTGGGACAGCTAAAGGCTAGGCTTGGGGCCCTGGCCGGATAGCTCGGTTGGTTGGAGTGTCACCCCAATATGCCATGGTTGGGGGTTCCATCCCCGGTGAGGGCACAATAGAAGAATCAACCAATGAATGCATCAGTCATTGGAACAACATATCGATGTTGTGCATTCTCTCTCTCTCTCAGAAAAACAAACAAAAAACTAGGCTTGGGCCTAGCTGCAAGGACATCTTTCTCTGCTAACATCTTCCTCTGCCATGTTTGCAGAGGCTGAGCCTTCTGAGGCCTCTTTCCTTGGGTCCCTTGGCCCGACTCCCCATCTCCCCATCTGCAGGGGAACGGCCCCCCTTACCTGCTCCATCTCCTTCTTGCTCATGCCAAACTTGTAGTGGCCAAGCAGAAAGGGCCAGACGTCCTTGCGGATCTCGTGCTCCACACCTCCGTAGTAAACTTGCCGCAGCAGCTCCAGCTCCTTGTAGTTCTAAGGGACCCAGGGAGTAAAGACTGTGCAGTCCCCGCAGTCCCTGCGGCCCCCGGGGTGAACCTGTCCCATGGAGAGCTGGGGCTGGGAACGGCGATTCGGTCACTCTGCTGAAGCCCAAGGAAACCCTGCTCTGGGCAGTCACATCCTCCCCGCCCACATTACAGCTGGATGAGACCTACTTCAACCCCCCACCCCTCGCAGAGTGGAAATGAAGCCAGGAGGACGCAGAGGTCCGCCCCAGGTTGTGGGGTCGCGTGGAAGCAGAATGAACTCCACGTCCACTGCTCTTCCCGTGGAAACCCGCAGCCCCAGCTGAGAGTCTCCCATGATCCAGGCCACTCTGAGGCCATCAGTCCTGGCATGTCAACCCGGACCACGACCACATTTTACCTGAACGCCCAGCTGGCCCGAGAAAGCTGCCCCCAGAGCAGACTGCTGTGCATTCACCACTGCCCGCCCCAGCCCCCCGTCCCGGCCCCTGGCCCTGACCCCCCCACAGTGTGTACCTTCTCGTCCTTCTGATACTTGCTCCACACATCCTTGGTGAGGCCCCCCGAGGCCCCCGGGGGCCGGGAAGGCGAGATGACGCTGTGATGCACCAGCGCTGACAGGTGGGTCCGCACGGTGGACAGGTGGCGGCAGTAGGCCAGCCCTGGGGGGAAGGGGGAGCCAGGAGGCCGTGACCATGGCGCCTCCCGCTGCCCCTGCCTCCCGTGGCCCCTCAGTGCCCCACACTCACAGCCGTAGAAGGCCCGCGACACGATCTGCCTCTTCATGCTCTCACACAGTAGCCTGAGGGGCAACCTGTGGAAGCGGCCTGGCTCAGGGGGCTGTGCCTCCTCCGGCGGGAGGGGTTAAGAAGCAAGGACCTTGGGGGGCAGGTAAGGCGCTCTGGGTGGTGCGGGGAGCAGGCCCGCAGCTCAGTAGCATGCCAGGGGGCTCCCCGTGGCTGCCAGCCACCCGGGTAGAGCTGCTGGAGGTCCAGCCTGGCCACCAACCACCCAGGGACCTTGGGCACCAACCACCTCATGTCACTAAATTTTGGTTTCCTCAAGTGAAAAATGGAGAGAACCACCTCAGGGTCACCAGGAGTAACAGGCCAGGGCAGACAGCTGGCAAAGCATCAGCGCCGGCTCATGGTCCTCACAAAACACCCTTCCCGTGCCGTTCTCAGCGCATGCAGCCAGCCACACGGCTGCCGTGTGTCCTCGGACATACACGCTGATGATGGGATCTGTGACCACACTGGGAAGGGGAGCTCACAAGGACTGAGCACCTACTACGTGCCAGGAACAGCTCTGGGTACTCATGTGGGTTATGTACCTCATTTAGTCCTCGTAAGAACATTAGGAAGCAGGTGGTATGAGCCCCATTTTAGAGATGAGGAAACTGAGGCTCAGAAATGTAGAGGTTCATAGAGACTCAGTAACTTGGCGAAGTCACATGGGAACAGAAATGAAATTCACACCCAGGTCTGACCAACTTGAGGCCACCATGTCAGGCAAGTGACACAGACTGGCACATACAGAAGGATGGGCACCCTCGCGCAGAGGTCCTCCCCGCCCACTCACCGGTCGGGGACACAGCTGCAGTGGCTGGGAGTTGCATATGGCGAGCTGCCAGTGGAGCAGGAGAGACAGGAGGAGCCCTGGCTACACAGGGGTTCTGGGTGCCAGGTCGGAAGGCTGGGCCCAAAGCCCTGCATCTCGATCATGTCACCAGCATCTGAGGACAGGAGGGGGGACAGGTCAGGGTCTGGCAGGCCTTCTGCCCCAGCCACCCTGCAACATGCCCACCTCTGTGCCCAGAGCTGCAGCATGAAGCCACCCACTGGGGGAGAGCCACAAGGGTGGCGCCTGCCAGGGTCCGAGCCCAGAGGTGGCAATGGTGAGAGGGAGGCGCCCGACACGTCCCAGCCTTCACGTGACTTCTCTGCACGTGCGAGAACACTTTGACTGAGTTTGGATGATTGTGTTTGCTCTCTCCATCTTGCTATCAGTGATGGAAAACACTTGCTTTTCTAGAGGAAAGAGAAAGCAAGAGAAGGAACAACAAAAGTCTGAGCTCCCTACAATGCTACCAGCTAGCGTGGCCTTCGATGACTCAGCCTGGTCCTCTTGGACGCACTCGGAGAGGCACGGGAAGACGCCTGGGCCTGGAACACTGCACCCCTCCCTGTGCTGAGAAACTCCATCAATCCAAGCCCCTGAGGACCCCTGAGGGTTCTAGGCCTGGCGGCCAGAGGCTGACGAGGGTCAGGGCTCCGTGCCCAGGCCAGGTGCCCCTGCTGCCCGTTCCCGTGGTCCTTCCTGGATTCCCGCCCTTGCCTAGCCTGGCTGTACTCAGCACGGCGGCCCCTGCAAACACACAAGCGAGCTGACCGCAAGGGCAAATTTCCCAGGGTGGCCAGGCCACCCCTGGGATGAGGGTGGGTGGCTGGGCACACCATTCCACCAACAATCCAGAAGAGTGTCCCCAGGTGCAGCCTCAGAAAACGGCTCCTTGGACACATCTACACCAGAAGTATGATGGGTGGAGCCTCCTGAGCCAGCACAGCTGGTCTGAATCAGAGCTCATGCCCACTCAGAGCTCCTAGGGCCCGAGTCGGGCAGTGCACTGCTCAGGGCGCACCCCGGAAGGTTCAGTGAGCCACAGAGATGAAGCAAAGTGAGGGCAGGAAGTGAAAGGACGAGGAAATGATGCTAGGAGGGAGGGAGAGAACAGAGAAGAGTGAGAACAGCGAAGAGAACAGGGAAAGAGAGAGCTGTGTGTGTGTGTGGTGAGGACACCTTTCAAGCAGTGTTTCTCCCTGTGAATTGCAGCCCGGGCCCGGGCCCTGGCCCTGGCCCTGGCCTGCTGCGTCTGGGCAGACCTAGGTCTGCTTTCAGAGGGAGGCAGGCTTCAGCTCTGGGTGTGGCTTGGTGGGAAGGGCTGAGCTGAGCCCCCTCCAGTCCCTTCAGGGGCTGCCCAGTTTTGGCTGGGAATCTCTTCCAAGACCCACAGTGAAATGTTTGTGGCAATCTGGCCCTTCAGCTCCACCAGGAGGCAAATTAAGGGAACATACTCCGTTGTGGAGGGGCTGCGGCTCTGGGAATGAGGCGTTGCAAGCCATGCCAAAGACTCAGGGGAGAGGGGAGGACAAATGCAGGTGGGGTGGGGCAGGAGCCCAGCTCGTGCCCCGGCAGCAGGCAGGAGAGAGGCCAGTCTGGAGAGGAGCTGAGATGGGAGCGGGCTCAGCCAGGCAGGCAGCAGGCAGCAGGCGGGCAGGCAAGGGGGGCAACAGGGAAACGAGCTCAGGCCCAGAAAGCAGGGCTCAGCCAAGGCAAGTCTCCTGGTTCAATGCTCTTCACCTTAATTCTCCAGGAAGGAGCTGAACCAGCCAGCATGGAACACTGCATGTCTGAATTAACCCAGTGCAGACAGCTGGAGCTCTGGGCTGGGCAAGGGGCAGCAGGCTGGATGGGGGCTCTGCTGGGTCAGCTTTGACTCTGACTCTCTCCTCCGAGCTTGAGGAAAGTTTAAAGCAAAACAATCAGGGTGGTTGAACCCCACAGCCCCTAAGACTCCGAGTGAAAGGTGCGTGGCCTGGAGCAGAATTAGAGTGAACAGCATCTCTGCTCTGTGGGAGGCAGCAGGAGAAGGGGAGAGGGAGGGAGAGGAGAGTCTGGACACCCGCCACTTGATTCACATGCACAAGTCAAGCATGTTGCAGGCCTGAAAAGCAACGGCTAGCAGGACGGACTCAACAGTGTTGTCATTATGGACTGGAGTGGAGGTGGGGGCGCTCACACCATCTCCCCCAACCACCTGCTGATTCTGCTCTCGTGCCCCCTCCCCTTTCCCGAGGTTTGGAGTCCCAGGGGCTGCATGTTAGCACACTGGGTAGGTCTGGCCCCCGAGTTCCCCAAGAGAATTCCGGGACAAGCCCTGAGGCCTCTGCACCCTGTGGGCCTGGAGGTTTCTCTGACCCTGGAGGCCTCAGTATGAAGACTGGTCAGGGAGGGTCTTCCTATCATCCAGTCTTGCAAGACAGGGGCTCGGCAGGAGCCCCCCAGCCTGTAGCCTGACTAACAGAGAGTGGGGGTAAGAAGGGTCAGCCCAGGCCCTCCTAGCTCAGCTTTTCCACATTGCCTAAAGTCAGCTAACCTGTAACAAGCATCAGCCCCAAGCCCAGGCTTGCAAGGAACCAGGTGGTAGGCCGTGTGCAGGTGATAAACATCAAGTGAGGTTCCCCACGTTCCCACCCGGGCTGGCCTGCGTGTCCGACTGGGATGGCTGGACGGAGGGCAGTCACGGCAGCGGGCGTGTGGGGAGTAAGGGGGCGGCTGGCAGGGTTGTGCTGAGGGTGGGCTAGGCGTGTTCCAGGCCACGGATTTGGTCGCCCAGGGAGAGGGAGGCTCAGTACCAGCTTGGTGGCTGGGCTAAGGAACCGGGCTCTTTGGCAGAACTTTGTAAAGCATAAGGGGTGTGTCATATGTCCTTAGACACTCTCTGTAGGGGCAGGGAAAAGGGAAAAACATTAATTCTGTGGCATGGGAATGGGGAAATTCCCCTAAACTCCGAGAGAGCTGGCCCTTCATAACCGCTGTCCCTTGAGCACCCCAGCCTAGGCCTTGCGGTTCCCTGGCTGATCACACTCCAGACAGGGGAGCCCCTCTCCACCAACCTAGCTCTGTGCTCAGGTGGACAGAGTGGCCGTGGGCGCTGGGCTGCGCCATTCACCACGAAGGGCCTCTGCGTCTGTGTGCTCCAAGCTCTGTGAGGGCAGAGTTCCCCTGCCATATCCCTGGCAGGTATTTCTAGATTTCATACTGAAGCACCAGGCAGTGCCTGCTGGGGCACCCAGGCCTGCTGGGTAAACTGAGCCCTGGGTCTCCCTCCGTGGTGGCCCCAACCCCTCACCTGACCCACGGGTGACTCCTGCCTGCATGAGCTGTTCGGCCCCTACCCCTGCCCAGGAGGGGCCTGGCACTTCTGTCCTGTTTCCGTTGAGTCAGGAGTCAGAGGCGCAGGGCCCAGAGGCGGGTCTGCCCCGCCAACAGGAGAGAAACAGACACTGTCTTGGGTTTGCCCGCATGACGCCCAGGAATGAAAAGGGCTCAAACTGCCGTTCAGGATTTCCCAGGGGCAGCCAGACCATCAGACCTTCCCACCTGGTGGGTCTCTTCCCTCTCCTTACAGACTCAGTGGGGAACCCAGGGCCAACTGCATTTTGTCCCATCCGCTCTTCTTGCCAGCGCCTCCTTCCGCCCTCCCCGACCTGCCTCTTGATGGAAGGGAACCACCCTGGATACAAGTCCCATAATGCCAACACTGCCGTTCGAGCCCCTGCAGTGGGTGGCAGGTGGGCCCAGGAAGGGGGGGCAGAGGGACAGGGAAGGTCAGGGAGAAGGGGAGGGATAAAAACCTTTCATCGGATTGGGAGCTGTGAGGTTCCGCGAGCAGATCATTGAGAGCATCGCGTGTAGTTTATCCTCCTCTTCCTCATCATCGTCCACCGAGGCCGCGCGGCTGGCCGCTAGGTGGTGGTAGTTAATAGTGACTGCTCAAAGAGAACAGCGAGAGAGGCAGAGCATAAGGACCCTGGTCCTGGGGCAGGAGAGACAGGACTCCGTCCTCATGCGGAGCAGAGTGGAGCCTGGGTCACTATGAGCCTGCATTGCATGGAAGAGGGGAAGAGGGGACCTGACAGTCTTTTGATGATTTACTAAGCAGAGTATGGAAGGAAGTGTGGGGGCGGCGGCAGCTGCAGAGCCCCACTCTTTGGAGAAGGCCCTCTCTAGAAAGAGCAGAGAAGACAGAGCTGAGGGGGATCCAGGGTAGTGAAAGACGGGGACCAGCTGGGACAGGCTGGCTGCTCAGGAGCGCCCCAGCCCTGGCTCAGGCTGGGCCCTACTGGGGGCAGATGGATCCTTGTCATCCTTCAGCTCGCGTCACGGTCAGGCTGGGCCAAACGCGAGGATTACCCCAAATCCCCCTTTTCACACTATAAATCCAACCTGCTCCTCCAAGGGTTTTCCAGAGCTGCTCTCGAGGAGCCTGAGTCACCCCACTGGGTTTCGGCTCCTTGGAGCCCCAGCTTGCCCTCCAGGGAAGTGGATCTTGAAGTGAAGTGACCAGAAGTGGGAACTACCAAGGCTTGAAGAGAAGAAGTGCAAGCTGAATAATCTAAGCCGAGCAATGGCCCGTGATTAAATGCCAGGCTTGCAAACATGTCCGGCAGAAGATGTGTCTCTTAGTCAGGCACGTCAGGGAGGGGAGGGGGATTCCCCACATCTTGTGCCCTCCAAGCCTGTTGGGACTACTTGTGCTCTGGATGTGTGTTTGCAGTCTGGGAAATCTGTTAATACAGAGACAACCTGTCGACAACTAATTGGCACAAGTTAGGAAATTTAGGGAGCAGGTGGTCCGGCTGGCAAATGATCTGCGCTGGCACATTCCCTGACCTTCTTCCCAAGATCAGTGAGTCTGGCCTGGAGAAGCCTGTGGGGAGCAGAGCGCTCTGCCCAGAAAAGGGACTCTGGCGCTGCTGGATACCTATTAGGGCCCAGAGGTGTATGTCCAGGTGGGACAGGACCCATGAGCACCAAGCCACCTTCCAGCCCCACCCCCGTCCTGCCCCGAGCTGAAAGTCCCACCCTTTTCAGGTGCACCCCCTATTCCAGCCTCGGCCCCTCTCATCAGTAGCTGGCTTCCAGGGGGGTTCTGGCTCCAGTGGAGTCAGTGAACAATTTGCACCATCCAAAAAGGAGCACTGATCCCGCACCCAGGCCACCTCGCGGAGGGCAGGCACGGGACCAAGGCGAAATGGAGAGTCCTCTGCCTTCTTATTCTAGTCTCGCCACATTTTTACCCCCCGGGACAGGGCGCAAAAGGATGACCAAGAGAATACTGCATAGAGATGCCTGGATCTCTATCAAGAGGCTTGGGGTGACAAGGGAAGGGAAAGAGAACAGGTAGAAGAGAAGCAGATTCTCGGGGGGCTGATCTGTAGGAAAAAGGTCCAATGAGAGGCAGCGTCCTGAACCGCTGGCCTTAACCTGGGCTGGTCATGGACCTTGCCGGCTGCCCCTCCCGGGGGAGGCTGTGCTACCCGCCTCCCCGAGCACCGCCCTCCTCCGCAGAAGCAGTGTGGGACACTCACTGTGCTCGTGCCTGTGACCAGGGTAAACGATGCGGAACACGTAGTCGGTGGCCCACCCTGTGCCCATCTCCTCCGCATCTGCGGGCCGCGTGCTGCCGCGTTTCCGTAGCTTGGGGAACACCTTCCCCTGGGGAGGAAGAGGTGGGCCGTTAGTCTGTGCAGGGCAGGGCCCATTCCAGGGTCCCACCCGAGGCTGCTCCTAAGACCTCCGTGTGGGGAAAGGAAGGGAGGTGGGCAGAGAACCCACCTCACACATCCCTCCGCCCACAGCCTCCCAAGCCCCGAGGTACCTTCCCCTGCTGGGTCCAGAGCGGGGGCTCTAGCTGCCCTCGAGGCAGAAGACCATTCTCCAGGCAGGACAAAAAGGACAGCAGGTGGCCTCCCTGTGGGAAGTGCAGCGGTGGCCTCTGGATGCCATCCTGGCTCACCAGTACGAGCGTGCCACCGTTCTCTGGGGGCAGGGGGGTTGAACAAGGGTGAGTGGAGCGGGGCCTCCAAGACCTCCCGGCCATCACCGCAGCCCAGTCGGCCAGGCCCCCAGGCTCCGTAGGAGGACAGTGCGGCCGGAGTGTGGGGATGACGAAAGCGGGGCAAGACACCCAATGGGCCATGCGCGGTGGGTGGCCAGGAGATGGCTGTCTCTCCTCCCTCATCCCAGCGCCCAGGACAAGGGAGGCTCACTTTGCTGGTGGCAGTGGATGCAGACAATCTGACTGAAGGGCACAACCAGGGCATAGTCCCAGTAAACGCTGAAAAGAAACCAGATTGGTGTCGCTGTGTCCCAAGACCAGCCATCCTGCCATCCTCATCTCCTGGCCCCAACACCCATGAAACCACCCTGAAGACAGGACGACCATAGCCAAGAAGTGACCTCAGCCAGCCGTGTCCCTCTGGGCTCCGTGCTGCCCTCATGGCACAGAGCCTAGCGGTCTCAGATGCCTAGAACTTGGCTCAGGCAACCCTCTTAATGCCCAGGCCTGGCTGGATCTTAGAGAGCTTGGGAATAATTCCAGGCGGCCTCTCTCTGCAATTCTTGGCATCGGATGCGGTGCGAGGCCTGCCTCCTGGAGCAGACTGGGCCTTCCCATCCCCCTGCCTGGTCCCAACCTCTCACTCCCTTCCCTGCCTCCTGCGAGTGAGTCCCAAGGTCCCCACCTCTTTTCCAGCTCGGAGTCCCCCAGAGTCCCGTTCATGAGCTGGTTGGGAGTCCACTTCAGAGTTAGGCTCTCTGCAGACTGGTGCAGGGAGAGGTAGCCAGGGACAGCTTCCATGTCCTCCTTCTACAGGGGGGAGACACACCAGAAGACAGGGATGAGGGGCTGGGAGGCTCCCAGGGATGGCCTATGGGAAATGAGCTGCAGGTGGGAGTGCGGGAGGCCAAGCTAGTCCAATCCCGGGGCCCTGGAGTGGGGGCCAGGCGGAGGCAGGGCCGAACACAAGCTACACGTGGATGTGGGCAGATCCTCTTCCTGGCTGGCCTGGTGCCATGGGCTCTGCCCTGTCAGTCTCCTGGATGCCAAGTGTGTGCTGGGCCAGCCATACCCAAGCTGGGCGTTCCCCCTGCCTGCTGGCTGCCATTCCTGTCCCTGGATGGCTCGGTTCTCAGTTCGCCAGAGCAGATGCCATTTCTGGCTCCTGCAAGTTCATGACTGGGTGTGAAACAGCGCAGTAGGGGTGAGGCCCTTATCCCAAGGCTTCCCTCTGGTCAAGCCCCTTAGGAAAGGGATAAATGTGGCTGGAAGATTCCAGTCCTGGGGCCTTTGGAGGAGGGAGGTAAGGGGTGGGCCCCAGGCATTCCTACCGGCTGCACCAGCACGTTGTTCTTGCCATAGAGCAGCCGCGTCCTGGAGTTCTGGTGCAGGGACTCCACGTACTCGCGGGCGCAGGCAGCTAGCCTGTCCTCCGAGGTGCTGCCGCTTGAGTGCCGCTTCCGGATCTGCACAAAGCCCCAGCTCAGCCCCAGCCCTGGGAAATCAGCCTGGGAGGCTGAGGACACTAAACTTCCATGCAGACCCTCTCTAAATGACCCTGGGGGTCTTTCCCGCCCCTAGTTTGCTCTCAGCCACCCTCTGCTCTCCAGCCACGAACCAGTGGTGTGCTCCTGGCATTTACGTGTTCTTGGCGTTAGGTGCCAGTGTGGAAAGAGGCTCTCCTGGGTGGCCACTACCTTGGGGCATCTCCAAGGCCCAGCCTGCGTCAGCAGGGAGCACAGAGGCCAGCTGCTCCTCCCTACGGGCCCATGGGCGTAACTTGGACGAACACACGGGGTGGGGCGAGGGATGCCTACTCCTAGGGCTGGGCGCTTCGCAGGGGAGTCCTGGCGGTTAAAGGGACCCCGGATTCGGTGCCTCTGGACCAGCTCATCAGCAGAAGGGTCCGTCCAGTAGTGGTCGGCTGTCTTGAGTTTGGTGTACTCCAAGGCACAGGGTCCCACTGTGGAGACAGGGACAGCCACTCAGATGGGGTCCCCCACACCTGCCCCTAAGTCCCCACTGGCCCAGCAGAGGCCTCTCCACTCTTAGGCTCACCTAGAAGACAGGCCAAGATGGGACCAAACACAGGGTCTGCCAGTAACGCCTCCTTCTCATAGTACTTGCTGCCAGTGGGAGAGACAGACAGGGGCACTGCTGGGGCTCCCGGCCTCATCCCAGTGCAGTCGAGCTCACCCGGTAGGGACGTTCCCACAGAGACCAAATTCTCATCGGTCACCAAGAAGAAATAAACCCGTAAGAATGGAGCTTGGTGGGGTGCCTGGTGCGGTCTATGCTTCTGGGGAGCGACAGGGAGAGTGGGCACGCCTGCAGCCTGTGCTGGACAGCGGGCACGCCGAGGGGTGGGGCTGAAGGAATGTTCAGGAGGTGGGCCCCAGGACGGGGCATTCACCTGCAGTTCTCCACCAGGTACTGCACGACCCTGTCCAGCACCTTCTCGATGAGCGCTGTGCGTACCCATATGTGTTTCAGGGCCTGTGGGCTGAGGGCCGGGGCCTTCCCACTGGCAGAGCCCTGTCTCCGCAGGGCTTCCTGGTTACTCACCAAGGGTTTCCTGCAAAGAGGGTTGGGCTTTAGGAGTGAAGGAGCCCAGGGCTGAGCCCCAGACTAGTGGCACTGGGAGTGGAGTTTGGTGCCATAAGACGAGAACCCAGAGGAGTAGGATGGGGGTGCTGAAGGCAGGGGGATAGGGCCTCGTGCCTTAAAGGGGCCAAAGCCCACCCTTAGGCTGGTCCTGAAAGGCCCTGAAAGAAACAAGCCCAGGAAGCCAACCTGCGGGTAGCAAATGCCAAATGGTAAGGGCAGAAGGGAGGGGTGGGAGGGTCAGGCCCAGGGCTCACCTGCCCTCTACTTGTTGCTGTAGCTCCTGTACCTTGTGGCAAATCTCCCCAGCTACTGGGAACGTCTTCCCCACCTTGGTGAACAGAGCTGCTACCTTGTCACTGCGCAGAAAGCCGGCGGCACGGCGTCTCAGCTGATGCAGGAGGCAAGCCTCCACTGCACCTGGGCCACAGAAGGAACCAGAACTTGAGCCCAGGCAAGGGGAAGAAGGGAGAACACTCCTCTTCCCCACACTAGGGAGGGCAGAGGGGCAAGGGCAGGCCTGACCCATGCTAGGACGATGGGGTGGGGTATCCGTTTTAGCCAGGCCAGCAACGCATACCGACCTCCTTCTAAAATTCCCCTCCCTATCCATCTGCTCCAGCCCTGGATGGACCTGTAGAGGCTCTGCTGTGCCATGCCATTCATCTCCCTCGCCTGGTGCGCACACGGCCCGTATGCAGCATTGCCCCTGAGGCCACGAGGACCGAAGCCGCCAGTTCCAGATGGCATGGGTGACTCCACCCCCTGCCCACTTACTGGACTGGGGGCCCAGGGAGCACACAGCCCAGCCGCCCTCCTGGAGAGCATGGATGATGTGGTTGCTAAGAAACGGGCTCTGGAGAAGGAGCAGAAATATTGATGAAGCCATTGCAGAGATCAGATCTGACAGCGGCCCCTGAATTATTGATGAGCCCAGCAGCTGAGAGTGAGAGATTTCTATCTCCCATGGAGGGAGGGCCTCCCTTCATTCATTCATATTGTCAGGGGCTGGGCTTCCTCTCTCTGTCTGGACACCGCTTACTGTGGACAGACTCCGCAGGAAGGAAAGAAGGGCTTCATGGGGGTGAGTGGGGAGTTACCCTGGCCATGTATAGAATCTAAAAATACTAGTGTGTGTGTGGGGCGTGCAGAGAAGGGGCTTGGCCGTTAATGAGGCCAAGTGAACTGCTTTACAAGAGTGCAGGGAAAAAAAGCGCAGAAAGGGGAAGGCATTTATTTGATCACCGAAACATAGTGGCAGAGTTGGGACTAGGACCCAGGGCCCCAAACCCTGGCCTGAGCTTCTTTCATCGTCTCCAGATGCGTTCAGAGGGCAGGGTGGCGCAGGTGGGAGAAGGTGCTTCCTTCACGCCACAGGTGCTCTTTTCACACGACTGAAAACAGTGCTGTGCTGGAGGCGGGGAGTCAGACTAACAGGGTCTGAAGCTGTTGCGGCCACTCACACTTTCTCTCAAAAACTTGTGTGACTTAATGCTCTGAGTGTCTGTTTTATTATCTGTAAAATGGGGAATACTTCTAAGGACTGGTATGAAATGTTGCATGAGATCAACATGGTCCTGCACGCAGGGGACACTTGATCCCTGTCGGTTCCTGACTCCTCACCCTTTATTGTCCAGACTGTTCTACAGCTAACCTGTAAGGGCTGGGGTCTTGCAAGACCTCTCACTGTCAGGGAGAATATCGCAGAGCTGGGTGGAGATGCTGTTCTTTTAGAAACAGGGAAAATGAAGCCTCTCATCTATTGTGACTAGTATTGTTAGAATAGGAAACACCGACTTAGGACATAACTGCTGAAAACAGAAGTTCTCGCCCGTTTTTCGTCTTCATTTTTAGTAAGTAAAAGGTAGTTACTGCTGTCGGTAAAAGAGTTTTGTTTGGCCCTCTCTTGTACTGAAGTCAAAAAGTTGGAGAGTCCCAGGAGACTGGCCAGCACAGTGAGAGCATCCAGGGGAAGGGAAACAAGGCAGGACCTTCCCTCTCCTGAGTGCTTCCTGCTAGAGCTCTTCCCTTCTCAGCCCTGGAGCACCTCACACATGTGCACACGAGGGGGGACCAAAAAAAAAAACAACCCCAGAATTATCTTCTGGGGGGCGGGTACTTTGTAGTACAAGCTTTTCCCACTAGGTGAATGTTCTAGGAACCCATTCACATCAGTGGGCCACCTGGCGTTGTTGTGAGAGGCTGCATTCGCTTAAGTGAATTTTTTGAAGACTCTTTCAATGTGTTTGCCCATTTCATGATGGGTGATTTACGAGCGCGCCTGCCCACACTGTGCTGAGTGTTCAGCAGTTTTTGACCAAAAACAGCATAACCCCAATATCCTACCCCCCCTACTCACGCCATCTTGCCTCAAGAGACCCTGAGCACTAGGAGCCATCAAAATTGATGAGTTCAAAAACTCCTTTGAGCAGTGGAAAAAACATCTCAATAGGAGTATTGCATTAAATGGAGTGTACTTTGAAGGTGACTGAAGTTTAAACATGTAAAAATAAACACACAATGTTTTATAAATAAGTTCTGGGTATTTTTGGGTCTCCCCTCGTATATCTATGTTCACAGGTGCATGCAGAAACATATATCTACACATCTGATGTGTGTGGGGGGCATGTGGTAGAATCTTTGCTTAAGTGTCCACATACTCCTTCCCATAGCGAGTCCCCTTGGTCCCTGGAGGTCTTGGTGGCCCTGGGGGTGGGGTCCAGGCAAGAGACCATTTTGCCCCAATCTCTAGGTCCTGGGGCTCCTGCAGCTACAAGTCGGTGCCTGAAGGGAGGTGGTGACTATTGTCTAGGGTTGCACTTCTCATCCAGGGCAGGAGAGGAGCAGCACTGAATGGCCAGAGCAGCAGCATGTGGCACCCGTCCTGCGGGGAATCAAGTGCCTTGGTGAGGTGACTAATGACTGGGATAACGAGTCATTAACCTCCCCACCGTCCCAGGAGATTGAATGCAGCCCCGCTGGGGAGCCTGGGAATGGCGGGCAGCGGCCCTCCCATCCCACCTGGCCTCACCCATCTTCCTAGGCTACCTCTGAGCAAGGTCATCGGGGTGCTCTGGGGTGAGTGAAGGCCTTCCTCAGCACTCACTCCAAGCAGGGAACGTGGAGAGAAGCCCGACTATCACACCCAGTCCCCCTGCTCACCCCACAGCCAGGGAAGGTGCCCAGGCAATGTCTGGGGAAGAAGAAACCCCTCTCACCCCTCTACCTTCCAAGCAAAGCAAAAGACCCTCTGTGTCAGGTATTCTGAACACAGTTCCATGGGCTCCTTGGCCAGTGATTGTTCAAACTACCCCGCCCTCCCCCACTCCCACAGGGTTGTCTCCGCAGAGAATCAGCACATGCAATGAACAATGTTACTGAGTGCAGCATGTAGGCAAAATAATGATAATAATAGTAATAATAATAACACTAATAATAAGTGAGAACTACTATCCAAAGAAGGTTTGTGGATGGGCTTCTGGCATTCCAATGACCCCCTGAAATTGTGTGTGAAATTGTCGACGTGCTCCAGCATCCTTAAGGTGAGTGCTTTTATTCCGGACAGAGGACCCCTTGCTTTTTCTTCTAAAAGGGGTACCTGCCCCCCAACAGTTTAAGAACTCTTGCTCTAAGATTTTTAGGTTGACAGAAACATAGACATTCAGAACTCAGAGATGCAACTATAAAGACTCTCTCCCTCCCTCCCTCCCTTTACTATGCAGTGAATGCCGTACGCAGAGCTGCAGCTCCAGAGCCTCAGCAACAATGTCCAGCTCTTCTGCTGTCCTTGCTCCCCAGGGAGAGGTCCATGGAGAGGCCCCTGCCTCTTCTCCCCTCCTGCCTGAAGGCCCAGAGCACCAAGCAGGAGAACTCTGGTGCCTTACTCCTCTTTCCGCCCCGGGCAGCCACTGTGACTCATCCCCGCGTGAAGGTCCCTGGCAGGAGACACCTGTCACGGTGAAAGCACCAAGTCAGCAAAACCCACACCCCTCTAACTAAGCTCTGTGGGCCCTGGTCACCCAGATGTAAAGGCTTCAGGATCCACTGTCCAGTGGGTCCACGTTCTACCTACAGCCGCTCCGGATGCACCAGAACACGGGTGAGCGGCCCTGACAGCATCAGCTCATTTCACAGGGGAAAAACACAGGCCAACTGATAAAAATCAACAGTTTCTGTTCATTAGTTGGGGTGGAAAGGTTTGGGTGAATGAATCAAAACAGAGAAATAGAGACATGACTCAAACATGATCCTCTTATCTCCCCACCCTGGCCTTCTGGTGGCCTTCTGAGTTCCGGTGCCAGATGGGCCCAGGGTGCTCTCTCTACTCGGTCATCCCATGCCGCTGACAGGGAGGCTCGAGGAACCGCATCTCCGGGCAGGAGTGGAACTAATTTTAACTCGAGCACCTAGCTGTGGACATCTCCCTTCCCCCAAAAGGTCTGGCACCACCTTTCCAGGGAAAGACTGGGAACTACCGGCCCAGACTAGCCCTGAAACTCTGCCTCAACAGCCTCTGATGTGTCCCTGAAACCTATTAAGTTACAGGGTTTACAAATGCTAAATGGATGAAGACTCTAAGTGATGACGGAATCTGATAGGGCCCCCTCCTACAAACCCATTACATGTCGATTTAATCGTTCCAAGGAGTCCAGTTAGGAAGGGAGGAGATATTGGTAGATGGGGATGGAAAGGACTTGGGAAGTGACTGAATCTCCTCACACCTTGCTGGAGGGAGGGCTGACTGGTTGCCGCTATGGAGGCAATGTGGCATGACCTATCAGCAAGACAAGTAGTCTCTGACCCGGTAACCCCTCTTCAAAGAACCTAGCCTACAGATATAACTGCAAGGTTACCTGGTTATAACAGCAAAGGTTAAAAACCATCCACATGTCCATCAACAAAGGGTAGGTTAAATAAATATGGTACATTCATAGAGGAGAATATTATGCAACCCTGATAAAGAAGGAGGATTCTCTCTAGAAACTAATAATGGAAGAGCAAGATGCAGAGCAGTATGATTGCATGATAAAAAGGGTGGGGTACACAAGGACTACAATTTTTTATTACTATAAAAAATTCTAGAAGGATACACAAGAAATAAAAGTGGTCGTGGTTACCCATGTGGGAACTGGTAAGTGACGGAGAAGTGAGTGAAGAGGGGCCAGGAAAGGAGTGAGACTTCACAGCATATCTTTTGTATCGTTTTCACTTTTGAACCAAGTACGTATATTACCAATTCAAAATAATTATTGTAATAACTGAGTAGGTGCCCATTCTAGCCAGATACCAGTAGACCATCATGACATGATACCAGAGATTCTTTCCAAACTAAAGTTGGATCAAAACTCATAAAACCCACGGGTACCCACCCATTCCAGCTCCCTCAGCGAACGGTCTCCTGGTTGGCGTGGCTTCCCATC